GAGGAGGAGGAAGAGGAGGAGGAAGAGGAGGAGGAGGAGGAACCTTAGAGATAAAGTTGAAATTTCTGTTGGGCAGAACTTTGAAAGAAGAAGAAAAGAAAAGGGAAAGATATTATTAATTTCTTGCAATGTGGATTGTGAACTCTTAAAATTAACGCTCCATGATGGTAGGTGATGGTAAGTGCTTTGTTCATGATTATAATACCAATACCTAGTAAAGTGCCTGACACTAAGCAGGTAGTCAATAAACATTTTTAAATTAAAAACACTTTAAATATCTTAGAGATCATTTAACATAAACTTTAAAGGCTTTCTTTTGTTTTTTAAGTGACATAAAAGGAGTTAAGTTGTGCTGAGTATATATATTTCCAGGAATCTGTTAAACCCTTACTTAACGTTTGTTTAATTTTTTCAGTTGCCTTCCAGGGTAAGTTTTATTATATCTACAAAAACCCCGGGGTTTAGATGATCAGAATGATTAGACCAGAGATACAATTAGTTAYTGGGAAAACAGGAAGCACTGATTAAAGCAGGCTTTAAAGGGGCAACTAAGAAGAGACGGACCATAGAGCAGAAGTTACAAAGTCCATAGAGAAAAACCCAATATAGTTATCTTTGCTCCTCCACGATATAAGCATAGATGTGCAAAATAACCACAACACCACAACTTGTGACAAATATGGTTTCTGCTGCCAGCAGGCTWCAGTTCCTTAATTAGAAACAAACAGTTGCCTGCAAGCCAGTGTTCAGAACACACGTGCAGCTTTATACCAGCACCCCCCTGCCCCAAGGCATGATCTGAAGGTAAATTCCAAGGGGCTCTTTGCAGGGCACATAAACAGAATTGATTCCCACCTCTAATACGAAATCCACAGCATATGCACAAATGAAGATTTATAACCAGCTGATATAAGCTCTATTCTCAATCACTACCCACACTGCAAGTTGCCCACCAGCCAGAGCCCCACTCAACAATTGCAAAATCGAAATCCCCTAGTCTGAATCACTCACCTCCTTCCAACTCTCCTTCTCGTGGATTCTGAACTGCTGGGTTCTACAGCCATGGTCAAAATTATCTAAAGCCAGTCCAAAGAGCCACAGTGGCACTGATGTTCCCAAGCTGCAAAGGAAGCGCTCTGGATAGATTTGTTCAGCAGGTCTCTTGTTTGATAACATAAGGGGAGGCATCCGCTCAGTGTCCTGTGCCAATATGAAAGACATCTCACCCATCAGTGTGACAAGTAAAATGCTGGAATGTGGCCAAGGAACAAAAGGGAAGAAATGTGGATTCTTACCAGTGCAATTGATACCATTTTCTAAGGGCAGCGATGATGAAGGGGAAAAACAGGCATAGAGTCAGTGCCCTGAATCAAAAACCTTGGATTCTTCTCTGAATGAGTCAGGGTGAGAATTTTTGTTTTGAAATTGAATTTCTTTCTTTTTCCTTTTTTTTTATACTGTAGGATGGTTACATACTCAACTAGTCAAGGGGACTGCTGTAAATAACAGGATTTATTTTTGAGACTGTGGATCAAATAGAAACCTTGAGTCTCACCCCATGGTTATTTATAGCTTTAAAAAATGTCTCCTTTTTTTTTTTTTTTCTATTTCATGTGATTTTGAGAACTGACTGATAGGTCTTCCTCTGGTATTTCTAGATATGCCTGAGGTGGTTGTGTTACTGAAAAGCAAAAGGGAATACTCTTAAGAAAGGCTTTCTAAGACACCAAGAGTCCAGGGAGAATTAACACACATGTTCCAAGCTGAGGCAGGGATTACATTCTCTACTCTGTCATTCTTTTATATGACCTGTGATGCTTCTAACACTCAGTAATAAGCTATGCTATGAAGGGGCACTGTATACTTTTGTCTACCAATAGGTGGCATCAAAATCTCTAGGTTTTCCTTCCTGCCTTTTAAAAACCATAGGCAGAAAGCATTTTCTTTCTGATGAATGATGCTTGGAAGACCACTAAATTAACTCTAAATAATTTCAGAGCAAATTATCCCATTCATCTGTTAATGAAGTCTATCAGTCACACCTCTGGGCCTCAGTTTCCACATKGTAAAAAGAAGGTACTTGAATAAAACTCAAGCTCTAAAATTCTGTTTTTCAACTATGGAATATCTTCCCAGACACGCCATTTTAATAATCATGCCAAACAAAGAGAGCTCTAATTATTTGACTCAAAGAATGTTAGCATGAACCATTCCTCTGTTGCAGAGATTGCTTGCTCAGCCCAAATTCATTGTGTTTGTTTTCTTTACTAAGAAAAATCACATTTTTGTGAGAGGCACCAATGTGCTCAGCCCCAAGCCTACATTCTGCAGCTATTTCTGCAGGTGCAGAAGTCACATGACCAAGGTCTAACCCTGCACTGTTCAATATGGCAGACACTGGACACATGTATCAATTTAAGTTTAGTAAAATTAAAAACTCATTTCCTCTGCACCTCTAGCCACACTTTAACTGTCAAATAGTGACAAAAGGCTAGTAGCTAATATCTTGGACTGTTCAAATCCAGAACACTTCCCTCACAGCCATGCTACTCTAGAGAAGTTTCCATGAGAGTCTCAATAGGAAGGGAGGTAACTGATTCAACTTTCTCCCTTCACCCCTTACTCTTTTTTTCTACCTGAAGATGAAGGTAGAGTAATATCACATAACCACAAAGAAACATTTGCCAAGGAAGGTTAAGTGGAAAGATAAAAGGAACCTGGGTCTTTGATARCATAAAGGGAACCATATTATCACCGGCCTTGTTGAGAAAAATAAAACCCTCCCTTGATTCAAGTCACTATTTTCAGCTTCTTTATTACTAGCTGTCAAATATTATATCGAATTTATATACCCTCAGAAAGTTAYCTGGATGATTTTCTATTAGTGGTTTTATATAAACACATTTCTTTCCAGTTTCAGTTTCTTTGCTGGCTGAAATAATGTATATACCACAAAAGGTGATTACTAATCCTTCATTTCAGTATGCCAAATGGATGAAAAAGGTTGCCAGTKGACATTAATGATGCCCAAGGGAATATCTCCTATTTTATAGTTTGAAGAGCAGCTTTGCAATTTTCCGGAGAGAAGGTTGGTGGGTGTGGAGAGAAAAGTGAAGTAACATTTATGTCTGCGCTATGTGCTAGAAATTTGACTGAATAATTTGACAACATCATCATATTTAACTGTCATGACCATCCAACAAGTTAGGTATTCATAGCTGCTATTTTTGCTCAGAAAGGCTGAGAAAATTGAGGCTAAGAGAAATTTTCTTGGTAAATYAACATAACTAGTTAGTTGTAGAAATGAGTTTCAAATCAAGATCTGATTGGTTCTTGCCATGACTTTCTGATGAAATTCCACTGGTGAATGTTCTTAGATTTCGGGCCATACTTGCCCATTTCAAGGCTCCATTCATTARATCACTTTTTTTCACATGCTTGACTCTTTTCTACCTCAGAATGATATTTCTCTTCATCATGAGTTTGGGAACTCTCTCAATCATTATAAAAATCCATCCTTCCTCTGACAACTTTGGAGACCCTCAGAGCTTTTCCAATTCCAGAGATAGTCTGTTTGGATCAGAATCATTCTCTGCTTTTACACAAMTTGGATGGGATAAGAGTGGAGAACTTGTTGGACATGACATGTAAAAGCTGGAAAAATCATTTTAAACTCAAAGCGAAATCCAATAGCTTCTTTTCTTGAAATTCACCGGAGAAAACAAGTTTCCTAAATTGTTCAGAAATTCATTCCGATTCATGAGACAATCCTAAGATATTAAGAAAGACAAAATGATATGGAAACAACACAATTTCAGAACATGACCTCACATTCTACAAAAAGCAGAATTAGTCATGTGTAACACACAGAGCCGTGGCAAAATCAGAGAGGCTCACAGTGACCTGAATTATTATGGAGAAGTTCATGTTTCTTCTGAATTTTGTGTTAATCAACTAAGCAATGTATTTTGTAAACACTTTTATGAATACAATTTATAAAAATGTATAAATTACTACTTGGAGGTCAACCAGCCACTAAGATCAGCCTGAATTCAAGAGAAGGAAACAGTCCTACTCCTTAGAGAGTRGAGTATAAAAATCTTTAGACATATTTTAAAACCACCACACCCTCAGTTCTGCAAATGCTCAGTCCTATCCAGAAACCTATTTCTAATGCCCTCAGCATATTTAAAGTAMAAGAGAGTATATGAAAGGAGGATATTCTAGGCCAATGTATACTTCTCAATAGTAGTTGGGGATTCAACCCAAATTTTACTTGGTCTCCTGGAGTCCCAAGGTCTCATTGTGCCTCTTCAATACACATACAGGWTTCTATACTACCTTTCCTCCCAAGTCTGTAACCTACCTTGCCTTGCTCAAGAGTATCATTCTATTAGCACAAAGAAGAGAAGAGACTTCTTCTCAAGAAGGCTTAAAGCAGAGGGCCATGTAGAAGAAAACTTCAATCCTGATTTTTCCACTCCCTTCCCTTATACTTCATCAAGAACAGGAGATACTCCAAGGACCCATTCTAGTATGTCAGCTATCAAAGACAGCAGATAGATWTCTAGACAATCTAAAATCCTCTTCTATGCTTTCCCTAATTATTGTCTCTAGATTCAAGTTTTCCACTGTAACAAAATACTTGAGCATTCATAAATAATAGAAATYCATTCCTCACAGTTCTGGAGGCTGGCAAGTCCAAGATCAAGGTRCCAGCAAGTCTGGTATCCAGTGAAGGCCTGGTCTATCTGCTTCCGAGATGGAAACTTATTCCTGCATCCCTGGGATGAATGCTGTGTCCTCTCCTGATGGAAGAGGAGGAAGGGCAAGAAGTATTGAGCGTCATAGGATTGAAGTCTTATAAAAGTCTTAATCCCATTCAGGAGGGAGGAGCCCTCAAGATCTAAMCACTTCCCAAAGGCCCCCCACCTKTTAATACYACTGCATTGTAAATTAGGTTTCAACGTGAATTTCAGGGGGACACACCCAGACCAAAGCACTATGCAACATATAGCACATTGCACAGCAATACTAAGTGAAAAGACAATCTCTTCCCCAGTGAGAAGTTATGTCTAACTAGGGGACGAGGAGTAAATAGCTTCGACCCCAAYGTGGGCTATTGAAGAAGCCAACAGAAATCAAGAGGAAGAAGACCTAYTTCTGTCTAGAAGTGTCAGACCTTGAAAAGCAGATGAAGCCAGAGCTACTTTAGAAATTATCCAGACAATTGCTCTAGCAAAGGGCTTTCCAACCAAGAAAGTGTGGTAGACYGAAACTCCAGATCCAGAGCACACATGGCATGATCAACGAAACTYGATTAATTGAATGATCCACTATACCTGGGAACTTTAAAGATGCGGGGGGTGGGGGGGAAAGGAGTAAGAACTGAGATCAACAGGCAGGTGGGGGCATACATACACAGGCCCTTGGAAAATTTACTTAGGGAGATTCTATTTCCTTCCAAGAGTCATTTATTCCCAAATACTGAGTAAAGATCCAGAATTTTCTTTAACCCCTGGTGAATTTTTTAAAATAAGTTTTTATGGAGTTAAATTACTTTTATAGGTYATCTTTTTTATTCTTATTTTCATTTGTATTCTTGTTATAAATTTGCCTCATAATTTATTTATGTATTTATTTTATTTGCCTTTAGTGATGGGGATCAAACCCCAGGCCTCTCTCTCTCTTGTTCTAGGCAAGTGCTCTACCACTGAGCTATKCCACCATCTCAGGTTTTGTTTGTTATTATTTTTAAACATAGTTTTTTTGTGTGGTAAGATAAAAGTACTTATGAGCCAAGGGAAACCCAAGAAATAGGTTCTGAACTTTGTTTTATGAACTTTAAATATATGGAAATTTGACAGCTGGAGATCATGAGAATATTATTGAATAACTTTGAGCAAAGTGGTGTGATGAGCAGATGCTGATGTTGAATTGAGGACAGGCTAGAGGGGAAAGTACAGTCAGGGAGGTGAGGAAGGTGTGGTTTGATAGACATTTACTGAGCACAGCTCTGGCGCTGGGTATACAATGATAGACAACACAGGTAACTTCTTAGTCCTTGTGGAATTAACAGCCAAGGCAGAGGGACAGAAAGAGATAGAAGAGAGACAAGGAGATTGGGAGTCACGGAGACGGGAGTATGAGTGAAGAGGGGAAAAAAAAAGAAAAACTCTCTGTAGATTATAATGCATGATATGAAGGAAATCAAAAAGGTGTTGAGATAGGAAGTAACTGGGAAATCCCTCTTCAG